ATAGGAGCCATGGGTAATTTACTAATTGATTCAGGACAACACTGACCCGAAACAGTTGCTTAGGGTTGAAGACACTAACTACATAGCTTAAGAAGAGGATGACTAGTAAGCTTGCAAAATGTTGGGGGTAATAGTAGTATCTTTAGCTTGAAAAATTTATTAACCTGGGTTACCATATTATTGTAGCATCCTACTGATAAGCCTCACACATTGCATAATTAAGAGCATCATACAACACCATCTAGGAAGGTAACATAGTTACCAGTGAAATATGTCTCTTTGCTTCATTAAAAGCCCATTATCATATCTAAGTATAAAAAATAAGTAATTATAACCACAGAAAACAGTTTTAAGAGCCCAGTTTTAAGAAAGCAACACTTAGTGCTATGCGCCCAAATAGTAAATTGAAAGTCTAACATGCTTTTAGAAAGCAAAGTCCTCTATTGGTCAAATATAAAACTACTCTTCAATATATCATTTAAAACAACTACAAGAAGATAAAAATAACTCTGTATTCCTATAAATTAATTGAGGTATTAATTAAACAAAAGAAAAGAGATGTACATTCTGCTAGCTGCAATTGCCGCTGATAAACAATGGAACAAAACTAATAATAAAGCGGATCTACTGCAGCACTGACAACTATGATAGAATTTGTGCAAAAAGTTGACCTTAAGTAAATTGAATTTCAAGTTTCATAAGCAGTACCTTATGTGGAAGATTGGAGTAAAGTAAAACAAATGAGAAAATTGGAAGAATGTAGAACAAAACCCTCCTATCAAGAAAAACCCCAATCTGCAACAAATATGTTACATCAAGTTAGAAAGGGGGAAATGTACTTTAACTCAAGTTGGACAATTTCAAAGAGATCCAAATTCTAAGCAACATGTATGCTGTATAGAATTTTAACTAAATGTCACTACATCAAAAGATCTGCAAACTATTATTACACTAAAACATGAATAGTTTAAGAAAAAGAAAAGCCTCGCTAGCTATTTATGCAAACAAAAACCAACTCAGAGAAGCATTTAACATTAAAGATTTTTAAATAAGTTCTTATGCTTATAAAACTTGTAATATGATTAGCAGGCGAAATGACCATCAGTACTTTACTGAGCTCAAAAGAAAAAACATTTCTCGGGACCACTTTTCTAGTAAGATATAATACCCACTACACTGCACTCTGGAGTTGTTAACCATGACAATAGAGAAGAATCTGAAAAACGTAGACATCCAATCCAAGCAGCAAGCATATCTCATCACACTGTGACTGAACAACTAGCATATACACGAGAATGAGATGCCTGGCAAGGCAAGAAAGAGCTTTTTATATCAGTTTCTAGACTTACCAAAAAGAGAGGATATGAAGCAAGCAACGAGCGGGGAAGTGCTGAAGTGAAGTACCAATAAAATGGGATGTGTCTAGAGTAAATATTGAGGAACAAATAAAATATGAATTTCACAAGATACTCTAGTTATGTCAAGGGTGTATTTTGACGAGAGTTTTGAGGAATTTATGACATAAAAAGTATAATAGAGTAGCACAAACAGACCACTACCTGAGCATAGCTGAGCAGCCAAGAATTAAAACACCCAAAAAACAGTAGCAAACTTACCAACAACATAGCACACCAGAGACCATCACAGCAGCAACCATGCTCAGACCACCCTCAGCCATTGACACAGATTCCAGTGAACACTGCTTCCATATGAAGAATACATCTAATTAAACAAACTGACATATGCATAGCTCAGCTCCTATTCCTAATGCAATATTGAACCTGCTGCCATGTCATGATCCTTGCTCCATTTAGCAGCAACTAAAAGTGATAACTCAGAGCCCACCCAGCAACAGGGCAGCCTTCTTATAAGCCCAGAGAACTCGAGGCCAATCCACAGCAATAGACAACAATATCACCAACCTCAAGGCCACACTCCAAAACAGCATGTCAATTTAGTATCAGTTAGGTAAAACAGCATGTAAATCCAAATCTTTTAGAAGAAAAATTCCAATAAATATTAGAAAATACAAAGTAATTAGTTTGTAGTTAATAACATTTCTATAAGGGAGAAAAAAGAAAAATTTTAGACTTAAATTCATATACAACAAATTAGATATTAGCATATTCCTATCGATGTGTATTTTTAATAGAAGCCACTGAAGTCAAGGAGCATTTAACCAAAAAATAACATGATATGCAAAACTTCTGCACCTGCTTTCACTTTTTCTCCTTTCTCCCCCCCTAAGGTTAGGCTCCAAACCTTCAACCCAATGCTTTTTGAAAAGGCAGAAGGATAACAATTTCTCATTTGCAAAATTCAAGAATAGGAACATTGTTACAGTTGAAAGTTAATCATGTCACATAACAAACAGAGGCTTGGTTTCAAAAAATTAAGCCTTAACATGCCTAAGAAAGTTAATCAAAACTAACAAGTAAATGACAACAACATACTGACAGTCTAGCAAGCGCAATGATTTCAGCTTATGGATGACATATAAGTGGTATTGAAAGCATTTAGTGATATTATTATCAAGAAGACTAAGAAATTGCAGCTTAGGGAGTGATGCAAGAGGATCAATCTCAACCAAATTCGTTAGTTGATTGTTAGTGAGAACCAAAGTATGCAACTTGGGCAAGAACACTGCAATCACAAACTACCAACCCATTAAGATGCTATTACTTTAGAACAAACCAAAGCCCTCCACTCTCTTAAATGAGGAAGAAATTGCGTGTTATGTGTTTGGGGGTGTAATCAATTAGCATTTTATGAAAACACTTGACAAAAGTTAAGATTTCAGATTTTCAAGTTTTATCTTTGACCAAAACATTTATCAAGAGGCTGCTAATTTGCATCTCAGCCAGCCATGCCTAATGCTAAACCAACAAGAGGAGAGTGCAATCCAGACAAAAAAGGTTATACCCAGTGCACAAGGCTCACACTTACAGTAGCCAAAAGGATGCCTCATCAAGCTACCTTCAGTTTAGCCATAATCACACATCTTTATTGATCCTAAACATCTCACATGATCCTGGATCTGTGCAAGAATGAATTGGTCTCTACTTAATGATCATTGTATTGACAATCAAAACTGTAATGCTTCTAGAATTGCATGTCTGTGTGTAACATGGATGGACATTTATATACTTAGGCGTATGCACATACGCAAATATGTATTGTTAACAAAATTCTAGTAGCAACTCCAGGTTGATAATTTTTTTGGCTATATGCCAAATCTGGTATGCATCATTTTCACACTCATTTCCCAGCTCAAAGCATAGAGAGAGAGAGAGAGAGAGAGAGAGAGAGAGAGAGAGTTACCTGCAAGGTATTGTGCTTGAGTTATGGTAAGAGTGTCTGTAGTTACTCCATTAACGAGGGGTCCCCCATATTGCAGAACATGACGACCTGGTGTCACATAGCCCTGAATGGTTGGATACCCATGGTTGCCAAAGAAAGGATGACCCATTTGTCCATATGAGACAATATTTGTGTTAACTGTGCTTGGTACGCCATATATTTGAAGGTAATGCTGACCCATGTGAGGATTGTAGACACCCTGAAAAAATAGACAAAACACATCACGATTGTGCACATATTCCTTTCCAGAACTAACTGGAGTACCAAAATACCCATTAGCAGTTGAGATTTGAATTTACTGACCTGTGGGTAGGCATATTTGGGTCCAAAAGATGCGTACCTGCCAAAGGAAAGATTAATGCCTTGATGTCAAAAGCACATCAATCAGTTTAGGTTGTAATGCAAGTTGACGTCAGATGATCATGTAAGTGAACACATGAAGCTCTGACATCACAAGAACAAGGCTTTTCTATCATACATAAATTACCATGACAATCATCTTGTGCTGATGCATATACCTTCGGTTTTTTGAATTAATAATAAAAACAGAAAAAGCGGACGAGTTCAAAAAAATATCACGAACAAACAAACTTTAATTCACAAAAGTTAACTTGATTTTCACAAGTGTATGAATAAATTTTGCTAGTAAACATCAACTTCTACAAACCTCTGGTTGATAATCAACAATGACTTCAACAAAGAAAATGGACGCACAAGAATTTGCTCAATTAGCTATTTGTCTGGATAGAGGCAATTTAACTCTCCTATAGGCTCATTTTGCCCACAAAAGTACAAAATCATGCGAGTTTGTAGAGATTGAGAACACCAACAGGTGGAAGTAGATTTTCACATAAGTCTTAGTTCATACTCGTCGGCCATGGTTATGTATCTCACACATGGAAGAGCTTGGTAGCCGCTTTTCTCGATAATCTTTAGGTAACGAACCTACAAAACACAACATTTACATAAATAAAGGATATTATTTTATTATGGTTGTTACGTTACGTTCAGAACCAAACTGAGCATCCAGAAGAACCAAACAACAGGAATACATCATCATGAAGAGTCACCAAAGCAGTTTCCCCAACCAACTTGAATAAAATAAAATAAATTTCAAAGTTAAAACCAGTGGCACTGTTCACTCCTCAGAACAAGAACAAGACCAGAACTAGGGCAAGTAGGCATCAACCCCTTCGCTTAAGGTTTAGAAGTTTCACATCCCAGCAGTAGAAAGCAGCAAGCAAGAATCAGAATAATTATAATACATAGGTTCAATCATGCTCAATCACTAACATCTGTGGAAAACCACATCTCTAAGTTCAACATGCTATTCTATTCTAAAAGGAAATAGAGTGCAGGAGCAGGAATACCACTTCAACAAGCACAACTTCTGTCAATGGCTAATGACAAATTACAGTGCCAAAATGGCTGAGACAGACAGAGAGTAGTTTGGCCTTTTTTTTGTATCCACATCTGTGAATTTAAAAAGCAGGTTGGCCCTTTTAATGCAGAGTCAAAAGAAAGTAATATTGGAATAGGTAGTTACAGAGGAGCAGTCGTTCAGAGTCATTCATGACCTCTGTTGGGAGGACAAGCATTTCAGGGCATAATGAAACCCAAATAAGAGTCATACAAAATGCAGATTTATGTATCATGCAATCCTGGGAAGTGAGTGAAATAGTATTCTCAGTCCAACAACCAACCTTTTTTTATTATTATTTATTTTTTTTTATATTTGTTGATTTGATCAAGGAGAGCAGGGCAGTAATGGTAGGTGCATGGCTACATGCACATAACAGGGAGTGATATCCTGCATCAGATTTGAGTGTTCAACCACATCAAGTATGAATCCTCCCACTTGATTGGAACACAAAGTTTGGTTTGGTTTTGGTTTATCATTCCTGATTGGAACACAAGGTTTGGCTTTATCCATTCCACCTTTGTCTAGATAGATTAAAAAAAATGAAAAAAAAGACGCAAACACAGTAGACACAGAAAGAATGAAACATTGCAGATATACATGCAACAATATCTGAATTTTCTATTCAATAAAAAATTAAAATAAAAAAAAATTGTATTTGAGAGGGGAAACCTGGATTCCTGAAACAACAAAATATGGTATCTCAAACTTCACACGTATAGAAGCTTTTCTCTCAGGAGCTGCGTCTTCAGATGTTATACTGGGAAGAGTATACTCCGCTCTAAGCATATATTCCTAAATTGAATTTGCAAAGAGTGTCAAAATTCCATGTCAAAATTGCAAGTGGAAAAGATACTGTAGCCCCACATAACCAATAGCCATGAACAAGAAATTACTAGCAAACAATACACTGAGAAAAAATTGAGGTAAACTCTCACCTTACCACCAGGAAAAGATTTAATTTTCCAGATCAAAGCATCATTTTCTGGTGCATATGAAGCAGATCCCAATGATGTCCAAACATTTGGGTTGGTAGCATCGACTGGAACAGGCAACTCAATCTCAACATTTGTAGCAGTGCTGTAAAATTGATTCAATGCATGAATTAGTTAAGAAAAATCTAATGATCAGGCATTTCAAACAGCCCAAGCAATTGACCCATAAGTCCTTAGCCATACCTGCGAATGAACAACGGCAGGGCTCAATGCCACTTCTCCCCGAAAACAAAGCTTTTGTTGCTGAGCAAGGTCTCGGATCTCGAAACAGAGACCACCCATAGCTTCGACAAAGGAACTAGGAGTAGGGACCTCGGACTGAACCCCAATCGAAGCCCTAGGGCTCATACCCAAAACGATCTCGGAGGCAGAAGACTGATTTTTACCTCCATTTCGCTTCACGATGTCCATCAATGTTAACAAATCCCTCTCCAACAGTAAATCTTTCACGATGTGCGAACTCCCCTTAGGCGAAGGAGAACCTTCAGTCGCTAACCCATCAGCCATCGTAGCCAAATTGCGTAAATCAGATGTGAGATCAGCCATTATCAACGAAATATTGAATGAGAAAACCCTAGAAATTTAGGCAATTTCTAGAGAGAAGGCAGACTCTCTCTCTCTCTAACCCATCTTTTCCCGAACCCTCAATCTCTCCTTTCACACCCACTTTCTTGTCGATACCCTCCGGCGACAGTGTTGCTAAGATTTTGGAGAAGTTTGGAGAGGATGCCAGGGGTGAGAGACGCCATTAAAAGTAAAAATTTTTGAAAAATAAATTTTAAAAACTGAAACCAAACGGAATGAATTTTTTGGGTCATTGTTTTTAATATTATAATCTATGTTGAAAATTGTAAAAAAGTAACCCCACAAAAGTTGAATACAATAATGAAAATGTTTTAAAAATAATAAAAAATGTCTTATATTTTTTATGCTTCTGTTTGCAATACCTTTATATTAAATTCTCAAAAAGTGATTTTGTACTTGAACCTTTTGTACTCCACTCTTTTTACTCTTTTATCACATTCAAATCCTCCTGCAACTTTCTTTATTTAAATATCACTATTTCGACCCCACGCGCTATGTGGGTCGCATTACTATTAATTTTTTTTGAGTTAACTTCATAGGTAAAAACATACAGCTGCATTCTAAGTTATATAGTTACTGATATTATTCTGTATATTAAGGTGTTCGAAGTATTAAATCTGTTAATTAATCAAGTTTATATATATAGCAACTATTAAAATTATTGTTCCTCTTAAAAATAATATATTCCTTTCATATGATACATTATGTCAATTATAATATTCTTATTCATCTATTTATATATCTTCTTTTAAAAATTTAGTTTCTAAAAATATAGGTAAACGATGTAATATGACTAAAAATGTCATATTGGGACAATTTCTTTAAAAATATCATCTAATGATTTAAATTTTCAAAATTCAATTAGAGAATATCTTAATATGTTCAAAAGCAATAATAACAATCATTTGTACTTTGAAAGATCATACACTACAACAAAACACACTTTTGGCGACTAAAATATTAGTCGCCAAAAGGACTGATTTTAGTCGCCAAAAGGATTTGCCGACCAAATACTTTGGTCGCTGGATTTGTCGGGTATACATCGTCGCCGAAGGTTTTAGTGACTAAAGAACATTTAGTTGCTAAAAGTACTTCAAAATTACCGACTAACACGTTAGTAGCCAAAACTAACAACTATTAGCGACGAAAAGAGTATTAGTTGCCGATGACTCCCATTAGCGACTAACAGATTAGTCGCCGAAAGGGTCTATTAATTTGTTTAACTCACTTCTTTAGCTACTAAATATTTTGTCGCGAAAACTGTAAATCTCTACGACGACGAAATCTTTTGTCGCCAATACTGTTATTTCAGCTACTAAATCTGTAGTCGCTGAATGGGTCACTGTTGTTTGGCTACTAAACATGGTGGGTGGTGATGGTGGGTGATGGTGGTCGTGGTAGTGGGTGATGGGTGGTGGTGGCGGCAGACAGTGGTGGAAAATGGTAGTGCGTGGTGGCTAATGTTGGGTGGTAAAAAAAAAAAAAAAAAAACTCAAAACTCAAAACGGAAACATATTTTTTGAGTTTACATTTTTTGGCTAAATTTATAAACTGAGACCATTAATTTATATATCAAAAATTTACCAAACAAGTTTTTATTTGAATTTTTAAAATTTGTGTACATATAAATAGAAAACTGAAAACGTAAGTGTTACCAAATGGTACTTAGGTGTTGATTTTTTATTAGCTATCCATAATTTTATCCTAAATTATTGGTTAATGATTGACCACTATTAAATTCTTTTTGACTATAATGATAACAATTGACTACCATCAATTTTAAAATTTTCTATCAATGTATTTTTAAAAAAAAATTATCATCAGGCATGCAATTTAAAAACTAAATATATTTTATTCTATTACAACTTTATTTAAAAAGCAAATTTACTTCGCTACTATTCAAGAAAATATATATGCCTTTATTTCGATATAACAATAATTAAATTATCTTCTACTCATACATAATCTCTCATAAATATCTTATCTTTTTTAAAATTTTGATTATCAACAACTGATTTCTCACATTTCTCTCTTTTTTTTTTTTTTTAAGGATGTTTATTTTACTTTTATCTTTTTTCAAATTAAATTTTATATCTATCTTTTTACCTATATATTTATATCTATCTATCTATCTATCTATCTATACTATCTATAAAAGCAAATGTAGTGGAAGCTCACAAGCTATCAATTATTTAATCTAATGTGTCATAATTTTGAAAGATTAAAAAAATGAGGTGGCACTTCTTCCTCTCTCACCCTGTTTTTTCTAGCCAAAATAGAGGAGAGACAAAAATCCACATGAAATATATAAGAAAAAATATATATTTATCACTTTAGATAAATTAAAATTTTTAAAACTCTCTTATCACCTCTTTCCTTTATCTCAATTAAAGTAACCTCCTTTCACATGACTTCCTCTCTCATATGTCTATCTTCCCTCTTTATATATAGTTACATTTTTATTTCAATCTCACACTGCTTCTTATAAAAAAAAATAAAAATATGACTATATCTCTCTCCCAAAAAACTTGCCGTTATTTGTCACCATCACCTCCATGGTCATTTCATAAGAAAGTTAGATTGGTACTGCCTAGATGGCCATTCCGTAAGAAAGTTAGAGATTGGTATATATGATACAACAGAGATTGCCATTGCTTTATTTTTATTTATTTTTTAAGCCCCTTTCCAAGTTTTTGAGTTATATGTTTCACTTATTACATAGACAAAACAATTGTTTTACATAGAATTTTTGTGTGTTTGTATTCCATATCAATAAGCAATCTGTCAATTTTTTTTTTCTTTTTTTTGTATATGTTTTTCTTTTTCTTATATTTGAGTAAATTTAGTATTTTACAAGTTACAATAGTGCTGAAGTGCAAACAATACACCTAAGTCACAAGGAGAACAAACAACAATAAATGAGAAGGATAATCGAGAATTACTGGAACGATCAAATATATGGCTTTTATAGCGGAATTATAAAGTTTTACCATGAGGAAGAAATTTTAGTTTGGAAGCACATATGGCCAACGAGCCTTAAAACAATATGTCAATAAGAAACTTATCAAAGAATATTATGTAAAGAGGACACTTCTGTTTTTGTTGCCCTTTTCTTTCTTTCCATTTTTGTTTTTGTTTTTGTGTGTGTAAAACTAGAATCTTGAATCATAAAAATGGTGTGTATGAGATGGAGAGTTTTTCTATTTGAGTGTTCACTGTTGTTAATTATATTTCAATTTTTTTTGGCACAATTTTTTCTTAGTCCAATAGATATGAGCACACCATTGTTTTTTCTTTCTTGCTAAAGTTTTAGCTTGAAGTCATGTGTGAGAAATGGTTAAAACATTAATCTTAGATAATAATAATAATAATAATAAAACTAAGGACCAAATCTGAAAGACAAAATTACTTATATTAATGTGTGATTTTGGTACATATGAAAAAATAAAAATAAAATATTTATAAGATGTCCAGTCTCTTCCTTTTCTTTTATCTTCTTACATATTATAAGAATGTAGTATGAAACATGAAAGGTCTTCAAACCCTTAATACTAACTCTTTAATCACTTTCTTTTCTACTGGTATTCTCTCAAGTCTCCTTTACTAATTTTCCTAATTTCTATTTTTTTTAAATAAACGTAAAAAAAAAAAATTTGATATGCAAATAGATAAAGTTAACAAATTTGATCTATCTCGCTTCTGTTAAAATCTTTTGTAATTAACAAATTTGATCCTATATGTTCAGTTAAAATCTTTATTTTATCTCTCAATATCTAATTTTAAATTTTATTTTTTTTAAAGTCTATCTAAACAAATCTAATTTAAAATTTTGATTTTTTTTATTTGAATTTTTATTTTTTTACAAGAGCTTCAAGCATTAAATAGAAATTTTCAATTTTAAAATTTTTAAAAATAAAAAATATATTTGGCATAAAGTGATAAAAAAATTGCAAACCTACAAATATTTATAACCATATATATAAATTAAAAATATATATAAACCCATAACAAATATAGATAGATAGATTTATGGTATTCAGTTTATTAGTAATTCTTTTTAGCATATATATGTTTTAGACATTAAGGTTATTGAGAAACATCTTATTTATTGTTAGTATTATTTCATTAGTTAGAAATCAAGTTTATTATTTCAAGAAAAATAGATCAGTTGAATTATAATAACATTTTGTGCATATCTGTTTTTTAAATTATTGTCTTTACTTATGAAATTTGAGAATATGATCTTTATTCATTATAATTATAATTTTATGATAAAATTTACAACTTGATGCATTATTAAAAAATTTATATACTATAAATCGGTCTCGTGCATAGTACTTAAATATTGAGTGATTGTGTTTTGTTCACATATTCTCCGATGTGTGAACAAAAATCGAATCTACTTGATTGCAAAAATCGTTAGTAATCCCAAGGTGATATTTTCTAATTGGACTTCCTTCATGTGTTTCATAATTTATGTGATATTATATATGTAGAAGACAAATTCAAGGGGGAATTATTGTTCAGGAGTTACTTTTTAAAATTATTACAAATTTATAATAAAATAATAATAATTTTAATTGTTAATATTTGTAATATTAACTATTTTTT